TTTGAGATCTCTAATTACAATTGTTACTAGTCAAAACTCATTTAGAGATATCTGCAAATATTTTTCAATGGAAGTCAATGGAGGAATATGACTAGTCATAATATATTTGCAGATATCTCCAATCTGATTTCGTACTAGTACAATTGTAATTGTAGATATCTCTAATTGTCATTCTGAGTAGTGGAATTATAATTATGACTAGTCAAAATATAATTAGAGATATCTCTAAATATATTTATGGAGTCAGAACAAAGATTTAAATGCTAAAAAGGCTTGCCATAGAGAGCGCTTCTGAACAGCGCAGCAGCGATGACGCAAGCATGCCGAGGCCCGATATGGTGTGAGCGCGGGCCGTCGGGGGAGACGGGAGGGGGGACAAGCCAGCTTTGGCCCGGTTCGAGGCAACTGTACCTAGTGTGAGAATGGCCTTAAAGTCTGTCATATTTAGCGGAAGATTAATTTGATTAAAATCAGGAAGTGTTACATGAACTAAACCCATGCATGGATTATTTGTTGACGTTTCTATCAATCTTTAAAATGATGCAACATACCTGTAGATTCTTCTTACGGTGAAACACGATGCTCTTTGCTTTGACCTTCCTGTCCTTGATGTCCACTTTGTTACCACAAAGCACTATGGGAATGTTCTCGCACACGCGCACCAAGTCACGATGCCAGTTGGGCACATTTTTGTAGGTCACTCGAGAAGTTACATCAAACATGATGATTGCACATTGAGCTAGAAAAACAGAAACACATGTTAATCCACAGTCGCCCCATGAGCAAAGCATATAAACTGAAGAGTTTCATACCCTGGATGTAATAGCCATCTCTCAGGCCACCGAACTTCTCCTGTCCGGCTGTGTCCCATACATTATATTTGATGGCTCCTCTGTTAGTGTGGAAGACCAGGGGATGTACCTCAACTCCAAGTGTAGCTAAAATGACAATTAAAAGCAGCACATCAATGTTAGGATCACACAAGTCACACATTCTTCCAGAGGTTTCATTGAGATGTCACCTGAATAAGTGTTTCATGTGAAGCAAACACTTACCAACATATTTCTTTTCAAACTCCCCAGTCAAGTGTCTCTTCACGAAGGTGGTTTTCCCCGTACCTCCATCACCTACCAGAACCAGCTGTGGTTAGGGGGGGAAGAAAAAATAAAAATAAAAAATTCGACATTAGCAAAACTATCATCACATAAGCAGCCCTTCAAATTGGTTAGACAGAACTTAAAAGAAAATAATTCCTTGGATAAAACAGTCATTTATGACCTCACAAATACAATTTGCTATAGATTACGCAAGGGCATTACAGGCATAGATATAAAGATGGGATCAAACAGCAATGATCAATTTATTATTAGTAATGATGGAAGACTATCCCAATTTTCAAATCGTCACCCTAATTTGAGTTCACACTTAAATTATATTACGCATGTATATCAGGGCTCGACAATAAGGACTGCCCGATGGCCCAGGCCCAGCATGCGAGACACTCAGGAGAGTACACAATTGTTCCTGGCCCGATCAGGGTGCTGCCGTGTTGCTAAAGTTTTATTTTGGATGTGAATGTTTGTCAATTGCGTCCAAATAGGGTGCTTTTTACACCTTGACGTTTTTTACAAAACCGCTTGTTTGCCCAGTAAGCGTGGTTTGTTTGGCATTTGTAAAACTAGTAATCGCGTCCTGATCTGCACCGAAACAATTTAGTCCGAGACTGCCTGAATGAGGTATTCTCGGCTTGATTGAACAACTCTGGAGTGGATCAATTGTATTAACCAAAAGATCCAATGAACTAACAAATCAGGCTAAATCAGTGTTTTATGGTTGTGTAATAGCCACATATATGGCTATACGAAGTAAGGGTGTCACGATCCTCCAAATCCTCGATTCGATTACATTTTCGATTCTAAAGTCACGGTTCGATTCGATTTAAAAAAGAACAATTAAATAATCCTAAATGAATAATACATTAAATGAATAAAAATAAGTTACAAACATAATTGCCATCTGTAAATCACTTTTTCCCGCAAGACTCGTGAATAGGCAGTGATCTGTGTCCTTATAATGGCATCAGTAAAAAAAAAAAAGGTCCACAACCAACAGGACCTAGCCAACAGTATCTGAGGTGTTCGCTAAAATTACCAAGTACAAGTGTAAAAGTGAAAGATTGAAGCAGTCTACTGACCCGCTGACTGCCTGGACTGCTGTCTCGAGCAGATGACAATGTGTGTGCCTGCCTGTGTGTATGTGGTCACATGATGTGCGTTTTCAGCGGTAGTGAGGAAGTAGGGGTGCTTAGTAATGCAAGACGCCTGTGTGGATGTGGATCATTATAAAATGCCATTCAGGGTCTACTCACACTATGCCATCTGTACCGTGCCCAGGCCCGTTTCCCGGATTGTTTGAGAAGTGCAAGTGCGCTGAATCGGGCTCAAGCCCTGGCCTGGTTGGAAGAGGTAACCTGAGCGCGGTTCACTTGGGCTTTGGCGCGGTACGCTTGTAGTGCGAGTGCAAAACGCGAAAAAGCCCGAAACTGAAAGCGAGACGGACTATTAAGTAACTGTTTCATATGGATTTATTAATCATTCTTACTGTTTAGTGAACGCAAACTGCCGTAGAATATTAAAGACATAAACCCCTCACTGCACCACAGCTGCGCACCTTCAGCTGACCTCCTCATTCCTGCAGCACAAGAGCTTTATGATTATGAGCGCCAAAAGTAGCGGATCTGTTTGGCGAAATATCTGACTGTGTGTCACTGCATCCCTAAGGACTGTTTGGCGAAATATTTGACTGCATATCAAACGACTGACACGATATAACTAGAGAAATCTCCACTGTGCTGCTGAGTGAGAGCGCTTCTCACTGAATAGCACAGCAGCGATGACGCAAGCGTGCCCAGGCCTGATTGTGGTGTTAGTGCGGACCGTCGGGGGAGACGGGAGAGGGGACAAGCATGCTTTGGCCCGGTTCGAGCAAGAATTTCAATCGATTTAAAATCGAAATTGTGACACCCTTAATACGAAGAGAGAAATACGAGTGGGGATGTCATTACTACCGGCAAATGTGCATTTCATGTCAAATACGAAAGTGAAAGCATCTTTCTCCCCCCTCAAAATTAAATACATGACAATTGTATTTCTTTTAACTGTCAGTTGTATTTAAAGAAAAGTTATGATGAAGCAATGTTTTGCTTTAGACATTTAAAATTTGTGGCTAAAAATGAGCTATTAACTTTTTTTATGGGGCCAGTGAAAATGTTGGCAAGGCAAGTAAAAATCTGAAACTACTGGCTGGATTGGGCCAGTAGAAAATCCTTAGCACTGTATAACCCTTTTACAGCTTGAAAAGAAATTAAGATATAGGATTTTTTTTTTAATATCCAATAAAATACATCTCCCACATGTAAAAGTGATGGTCAATGGGGTAACATTATACAAATGTAATAAATTAAGATCTAATTGTTTTTAAAATTTAATATACAGCCACTACTATCAATAAAGCTTCATTTTATGTCATATTACATCTATATTTCAACAGGGCAAATTAGTTTTAAAGGAAATCAATCCTGGGTTTATGAAACAATAGAAAACACTAGAATGCAAGTATGAGGCAAGAAAAACTATCGGGCAGTTTGTGGAGGTTAAAAACTATACCATTAGGAATAATAAGTCTTATAGAATAAGTGAATAAGAATAAGTCTTGATAATGTGAACTTGTATAAAGCAATGTTATACAGACTGTTGTAATAGACTACTTTAATACAGAAACTAAAATAACAAAATATAAAACAAACTGGTAAAAGACAATTACACAAATTTAACATCATTTACTAAATAACTACAGTTTATTAGTAATAATAAACAATTATATAGTATAGTATGTAGTAACAAATATCCTTAAATTCAGCATCAAATGGGTTCTCGCGCTTCAATGTACTCGTTATCAGCAAAGAGTCTGCGAATTCACTAACGTTACGAAACAGTTTAGAAACTTAATGTGATGAACATGTAAACACTCAAACTGGGGCTTTAATTCGTTACCACAGACTGTCGTGCCTTTAAAGTGAAAGTGTAAGTTACCTTAAACTGAACTTGTGGCTCGTTCTCCGCCATCGCTGTACTGTGAGTGTGTGTTGGTCTTTGTGCTGCAGTCACTCTGCGGGAGAGATGGCGGGACGGTTAGTCACATCACACAAAGGCCGCACCAATTCCAAATAAAGACAACGGGACCACAAAATTACGCAAATACACCACTTCGAGCCAATATTGAAAACAAAACCGCTTTTAGAACTTAAAACAAACAAATGTAATGCTCTTTGAACAACACGCAGATCTAAATAAGGGGATGCGCGCGAACACACGAGGCCGCTGCCGCTGAAGCCTAAACTTCACAATACAGCGGCCGCCCGAAGGCCTCAATCAGGCCGTCAACATGAAAATCAACAAATAGCGGATTTAGTAGTTTTTAGAAATCCAGAAATTAGTTTGGTTGACAGAACTTAAAACGAAGTGAGTGTAGTTTCCGCGGCTCCAAGATCGCGCGCTACCAACAACTCGGGATGGCGCTACGACAGAGATGAGCCATGATGAAACACTCAAAACTGCACATCCGCGGCCAATAAAAACGATCAGACTGACTTACTAGCGCCTGGGAACTGCAGAAAAGCTTTCAGGTGTGTTTAGTCGGCGCTGAAAATAAAACGTGTTAGTGAAAAGAGTGTGTGATGAGATGAACGCAGTCGTTCCGCACTCACCGGTGTTGAAGTGATCGAGGAAGAGAGCAAATGGCTGCGCCCGCGCGGGATTCAGCATGGCTCACATAAACGCTTCCGCCCCACCACGTGACCTGCTGCTGCCGCGGGACAACAGCGTCATTTAGTGGCAGAAGAGCGAACCTTTTACAGCATATCACTCAATTTTCTTCGGCTTTAGTCCTTACTTTATCATGAGTGAAGAGCGAATAGATTAAAGGCATAAGTCACCCAAAATGAAAGTTCTGTAGACATGTATTCACTCTTTACTTGTTTCAAAACTAACTAGTTTTCTTTTTTTAAATAAAAACCGACATTTTTAAGAAAGCTGGGAATCTGTAACCTTTGAAAGAGATGTGTGCACAATTTCCAAGACAAAATCCTGCCCCAACCAGGCAATGAATCTTCTGCCCGCTGAATAAAACGAGAAATGAAGGTAAGGAGCAGGTTGCCCTCTCAAGTGTCACCTTTGAGGACAGAAACACTGAAGGTAAATACATACATTTGTTACATTATGAAATTCAATTTGCACGTACATAAAAAAAATAGTAATACAGCATGTTTTGGTCGATGTGCCCCTCTTTAGATCAAGATTCTTTAATAGATTGTTCTTTGAGTCATGAACTTCAGAAAATTGAGCAGAACGTCCAGCTCCAATTCCATTTCCAGCAAGACATCCAGCTCCAGCAGCCCGTCCAGCTTCAATTCCAGCAGCCTGCCCTTGATGATCAGCAGGATCAACATCTGGCTCAAGACTTCAACAGTATATTGACCTTTATATGTATTTTGTCAACAATGTTCATGCTATGTTCCAACATCATAATATGTGTTAGCTATCTACCGGTACTTAATGTTTTATAGAAGCCTTTTTTCCTAAATCGAGTTGTGGAGACATGTGAAATAACCCTAAGGAAAGTTGTTCCTAATACATATGGAAATATTCCTTTTTATATGTTCACTAATGATAACTCCAATTACTTTACTTTTTGTAGGTGACATTTTGGGCTGCTATAAAATTGTACAAAAGCTTGGTAAGGGAGGACACGGCACAGTCTTCAAAGCGATTTGCTTGATGGACGGTCTTGAGGAACTACATTTTTACTCACTACATCTTAGCTAAATGTTTCTCTCACTGCCTGTTCAGGTCCTTTTATTGTGTCACGTTACATTGAAAACGTTTAATAAATGTGACTAATTCACCAACATTACAATTGTTGTGTTTTGTTAATCAGGTGGCATTGAAGGTTGTTTTGAAGAGGAACAATATGGATTATCTCAGCATTGTAGTTCTCTTGATTTTAGTTCAAGATATGTTAATTATAGCCAAAAAAAGAATTTTCAAACATCACTGACAACAAATTTCTATCTTCTACAGCCTGGTCATCCTACTCCCCTTTCATTAGAAGTTGCACTAACAATACTTGCTAACGAAGGATTCCTCAGATCATCCAGATGCTGGAGTGGCAGGAGCTGCCAGACTCTTACATCATGGTTTTGGAGCACCCCTCACCCTGCAAAGACCTTTTTGACTTCCTGGAGCACTATGAAGGAACCCTCAGTGAAGACGTGGCACGGTACATCATGTGGCAGGTAGTGCAGGCTGCCCACATGTGCTGTCAAAGAGGAATCCTCCATCGCGACATTAAATTAGACAACCTGCTAATCAACAAGGACACCTATGAAGTCAAGCTTATTGACTTTGGGTGCGGTGACATCCTAAAAACATCAGCCTGATTCTGTGGTATATTGTTTTTCAAGTCTGTAGTTAAGGACCTAAATTCTAACAAGCAGCTACACCATATTTTGAAAAGCATAAGCTTTCTTACTGTAACTAATAAAGAATATCTTTTTTTCCAGGAAAAGAAATGTACAGCCCTTCTGAGTATCAATCAACAGGCGGATACTACAGCAAATCTGCAACCATTTGGTCACTGAAGATCCTTTTATTTGAACTGCTGTGCAGAAAGCCTCCAGAAAACATTGACCTGGACATGACCCATGCATGGCTGTAGTCAAAATTTGGATTGTCAAATGGTGAGCTTGCCATACACCACAGCACATTAAGCCAACTGTTAATCTAATTCACACGCTGTAATATTTCAGTACTTTTTCAAGGGTTTTGGACCATCAAATCTTATTGTTTGGATAAGGATTATCAAAGCAAATATATTTAAGTAATGATCTTAGATAAGAACTCTCCCATCTTTCTCCACAGAGTGCTGCAACCTGGTTCAGCCTTGCCTGCAGAGTAGCTGGATGCCAAATGCCAGACTGATTCGTTTTTTTATTTTTCATTTTGACTACATTTTAGTCTTATAATTTGTGCAAGGACCTTCAAAAAGTCTTTGGTCTAAAACTGCCAAACACTGAGCTGCCATTCTCCATATTCCAAAAGGTTCTTGTGACCACAAAAAGTTCAGCACATCACTTTCAAAGGTTCTCAGTTAGATTAGCATTTTGCTGACTGACATGCCTTGCAAGTTTCCTGCCAAGTAACAAGACATTTATGCCAATACCTATGGTTCCTTTACCCAGCTGCCTCAGTTGCAAATGTTTTGGACAAAGCTGTACTAAAGGGTCCTTCAGTTTCTGTCATTATTCAAAGGAGGGATGTTACCTCAGGCCACAAAATCCGGGGCCTTCTCTTCATGAAACTCTAGCAAAGCATTGTTTCACAACCACCATTGTGTCTGTAATGGCTTGCTGAGAAGAAGCTCCTGCCCTGTCCTCATCCGAGAGATCTGTCAAGACTTACAGATCCTGACAAAAACCTCTTAGGAAAGCTCATCTCCCAATTCCTAACATGCTGTATAGAGGGAGCCTCTTGAGCATGTTGAGCAGCTGAATCAACTGAACTATTTCAAAACACACACAATTATTTAAAGAAACTTTGTTTACAGATTCTGAAGTATTATGTTTATGCTTCTATCTCTTCTTTTGAATTGTTTGATGCACTCTCTGTGGTGCACTGTTTGCACCAGGTTGCATTATGCACTTTACATGGCCAGACCATTTTATTCCTCAATCCTTGGTTCTGTGGGTTTTTGATTTGTTTATGTATCTCTGCTTTGTGTAGTTGTGTGTGTGTTTTTATGTGGCATCTAGATTAGCATGGTCTCATTTCACTGTGTACTGTTGAAATGACAATAAAAGCTCTTTGAATTTGAACTTGCTCATCTCACTATCTAAGCCTTCTTGGTTTTAAAACTGTACATGTTGCTAGGTTGTTTAATAAACTAAGACAAAAACCATAACCACAGTGAAAAGAGCTTAGGATGAGCTGCAGTGGGTACCGACCTCATGGATCAGACCAACTGACCAGTCCTAATATCAACAGATACGAAGAGAAGAGCTCAGCCATACTACATGACTGCAGATGGATTTCAATATTTGCATCAATATGGAAAACTGTTTTTTCAATAGAGACAGGAATGTGTGTTTTTTCTGTAAAATTGATACAAAAGTTTCTGTTTGGACATTGTGTTTGCCCATGTGAAAAATAAAATAATAAAACGTAACCTATATTAAGCTGTCCAAAGGAGATTTGGTATTTTTAAAGTTGACTTTTAGGTTTTTCAAGAACAGTGTTATAACGTCACTTCTAAACTTTCAATTAAACATTAAATGGTGTTAAAGTCATACAGTAGATTAGGGGTCACCAACCCTGTTCCTGGAGAGCTACCTTCCTGCAGAATTCAGTCCCAACCCTGATCAAACACACCTGAACCAATTAATAGCACCTAAAGCAGCACTTGATAATTACAAACAGGTGTGTTTGGTCAGGGTTGCAACTGAAATGTGCAGGAAGGTAGCTCTCCAGGAACAGGGTTGGTGACCCCTGCAGTAGACAGACTGAAATATGTCATCATTTTCTTTGGAACATAAAAACTGTTGGGAACTGATGAAAAGGGTGAAATAAAGCCAAGTAAATAGTAACATGTTTCATTTTGGGGTGTATTATTGGTTTAAATAATACAAAAACAAGATGTTTTGATATTTTGTGTACTTTTTATTTTTGGATGAAATATCTCTCTAACAATAATCATGTAAGTTCTAGCAATAAATCATCAGATAAAAAGTCAAATCTATGTGACGCTTAGAAAAAAATGACTTGCTCCTTGATTGTCTTAGTGAAATGAAGGCTTGGATGGCTTTTATTTTTTAAGCCTTAATGACAACAAAACAGAAATAAGGGTTTTTGTGGGTACCATTGTGACTCTTCTGTTCAATTTGGGTTCGTAAGCTCAGCATATGAAGCCTATACAGTTAATAATTTAAGGGTGAAATTTGATTTTGAAATTTGAAGACAACTAGCAAAAATTAAGCAATATATACCAAAACAACAGTGTGAGACAGTAATCCATGCTGTGACAACTCTGTTAGATTACTGTAATGTATTGTGACGAGTAGCAGGTCACCATTTGCCCACTTGCAATGGTGCAAAATTCTGCAGCACACCTGTTAACTGGTATTCGCAAACATGTCCACATTTCCCTGTGTTAGCTTCGCTTGTTCTCTCACTTGTTCTCTCACGCCAGTATATCAGTTTCTCTTGATTGAGCCAAAAATCATAAGCTTAGAAGGGATTATTCTTTTGCTGTTATAAGTCATTTTGGAATGAATTGCTGCTGCCCATTAGTAAAGCCTCTTTCATGTTCTCATTTAAATTAGCTATTAAATTTTGTTTTTTCATTGACATTTGACACCTGATCTTAAAAACTGTTTATACATATATATTAGTTGGGTCAGCTGTGTTTGATTAGGGTTGGAGCAAAACTGTGCAGAGCTGCGACCCTCCAGAAATTGAATTTGAGACCTATGCATTAGTGCAGGGGTGTCCAAGCTCAGTCTTGGATGGCTAGTGTCCTGCAGATTTTAGCTCCAACTTGCCTCAACACAGCTGCAAGGATTTTTCTAGAAATTCAAGTAAGAGCTTGATTAGCTAGCCCATGTGTGTCTGATTGAGGTTGTAACTAAACTTCACAGGACACTGGACCCTCCAGGACCGAGTTTGGACACATCTGCATTGGGGCAAGTAAATAGTAGCATGTGTTTTATTTTTGGGTGTATTATTTGTTTAAATGATAAAAAAAAAAAAAAAAAGATATTTTTGATTGAAATTCTGAAATTCCTAGTACCTATTTTTACTATGGAAGTTTAAATTTTCTTTAAAATATCAGCTTTTGTGTTCAGCTGAAAATATAGTCACAATGAGCATTTTCAGTTTTGGATGAATAATCTCGTTAAGTCTTACCATGAACAATCTTAGTAATGAATACATTTTTTTTTTTTTTTTTTTTTTTTTGTGAGTTAACAACACCACTTAGATTAAAATGACTCATATAAGGCTGTTATTTTACAAGTCATTTTTGTTACTTTAAAGTTATTTTTCAATGTATTAAATATAACATTAGCAAATAATAAAATTCTTTTATTATTATTTTTTTTTTTAAACAAGTTATTTTTTATAAGTGTTTTTTGAGCATAACTGCACCGGTCACTTTGTGTAACATTGGACTGTACCTCATACTACCTCCCTGTATTAGGGCACTGTCACTTTATCCTATTTACAAGCTTTTTGCACTAAATACGGTCTTGCATTATAATGTATGTTTTGCACTATATACTGTTTTGCATTTGCACAACTCTGGTTTGCACTCTTTGCCATTAGTCTTTAACTGTAATTGTACTGTTTACAATTTGTTTATGTTTTACTGATATTTTTAGATTATATTATATGTGTATTTCTATTTATTGTAATTTCTTTTTAAAATTCTACTTTCTGTACCAATATAATCTGATCTGCATCTATAGGGTCTAAGAGTAACGCAATTTCAATTCTCTGTATGTGCTGTAGATGTGGTTGAATTGACAATAAGGCTGACTTTGACTTATGTTCATTTGTGTTTTATAAACTATGTATGTGTCTTAAAAATTTTAAACAGGCTAACAGTGTTTGCTTTTAGGCCATTTATTTGCAGAAAATGACATTCAATATAAAATATTCTTTTTCAGGCAGCAGAAAATGCCAAGAAAAATCTTTTCAGGTTTATCAGACATTTTCTGCAAATAAATGTTTTAAAGATAATATTCTTGTGTGAAATTATGAAGAAGCTTTATAGTCTAAATCACTGTCCATTAAGATGTTCCCTATTTGTTAAAAGAATCATTCTTTTGTGACTAGGCAATTTTAATTCAGCAACTTCCACCTGGGGATTCTCATACAGAGCAGCACCATTAATGTGATCCAAAACCTGAGAAGAAATGATGCCAAGGTATCCATAATCCTGGGCCAGGCCATATCCTGAGCTGATGCTGTGGTGGTCATGGAGGAGTGAAGAGCATGACACCGATTCCTAAAAGATCCTAGTGACAGAAGAGTCTTCGCATTGATCTCTTGGACCAGCCTGAACACCCGCCGGTGACCTATACTCACACCTGGAGCTTCTCCACGATGGACGTCCAGCGTTTCCCAGCCTCCGGCATCTAGACTGCAATTCTGCAATTTATTTTTTAAAAGCTATTTAATTAAAAAAATATATACATTATTAGAAAGGAAAATAGAAAATATATTAAAATGTGATAGTGATAGAGGAAAAAAGCTAAATTTTTATTATAGATAGAATGTAAAATATTTCTAAGAGATATATATGAAAGAGCAGCATGCAGGCAATCTTTGTTTTTTTTTTTCAAATAGAGCATTATAAGATGCAAGTAAAACCAACACACCTTATTGTGCTTCTTTTTTATTTACATGAGTAAAGTTTATCAAAGAAAAAAAATAAGCAATGTCAATTCCCAATAAACATTTACATGCAGAGGTGTATTTTATTTGCCCCTGAGAAAAGCTAAGTTTGAATACACTGAATGAACAATTAAATCAAAATAAACATTATTTGGTTTGATTTGTGCATTTCATTTCATACTTAACAACTGATTGATGTGTGCGTTTCTATGGTTCTATACAGTGCAGTGTTCAGATCCACTAAATGCAGCTTATGAAGCTCCTTGTTTTCCTGTTATCTGACTATCATCAGGAGGTTTGTGCAATTGTTCATCTGTACAGGTAATCCGCCTGGATGTTAGCAGCAATTTCAACCTCCCATCGATCTCCATTATTCAACAGTTTCTCTTTATTATACAGCAGCTCTTCATGCGTCTCAGTGGAGTACTCAAAATTAGGGCCCTGGCACAGAAAGGAGAAAGATTACATTGTTAATGGAACGAGTGTAAAGTATGAGTGAATATGACCCCTCAGTGATCAATATCTACTATAATCGGCCCCTCCAGGATTTTGTTATCGCAGAATTTAAAGTAAAATCCAACCCCCGAAACAAACTTCATTCGAAGATATTGCAACTTGTTTTCATTCAAGGACCACTTGAAGTATAGGCTGCATGTGTTTGAATTGATTGCCGAGTAACTCCCTGTATAGGCTCCCTTCACAAACACTAAAGTCAATACTTTAGTTTCTGACTGTGTTGCTCAGTTTTATATTTGTTCAAACGACCTTTAAAAAGAAAAAAACCTGGCACATCATTCATCTAATGATCCCTAGAAATCTATAGATTTATACCTGTATCTCTTGGCATTTTAAATTGAAAACTACTTAATTTTTTTTAGATTGCACAATAGCTATGTTTCCATCCAAAGATGCTAATTAAATTTATGCACAAAACTTGGAGTATGGCATATAAGACATGCAAATAAAGCAGCGTTTCCATCTAATGACTCAAAGAGAACAAAATCATAATTTCCTGATAAACAGCTGCGCGAGTCTTTTCTTTATTTAACTTGCGCCTCAGAAGACAATATGCTGATATGTAATGAATGTGTGGTGGCGTTTGAAGACGTGAGACGTAAAGCACAGACACTCTTGATGGTTCTGGAGGTCATTAATAATATAATAACACTAATACTGAAATAGTTAAGGTGTTTTAGAATGACCAAAACAACATTTCAGATGTTTTAGAGTATGCTCAGCCTGTAAAAAAACATTTTTTTATTATTACATGATCTCTGATAACAAGATCACATGACTTTTTTAAATGTCAGAGCGGGAGGGGGGTTTAGAGATGAAGAGCGGGGGAGGAGATTGGGGAAAACCAGCGGATTAAAAAACAACAACCTGTGGACACAGATCAAAAGAAGTCCAATTCCACGGAAAAACTGCAGACTTGGCAACACTGCTGTTAATGTTACATGTCGTCTATTGTTATATGTGGATTGAGTCCAAGACACGTGTGCAGCTTGAGTCCAAGACAAATTTCCTGCAAAGGACAATAAAATATAATTCTAAATTTAACTGAGCAAAAACTCTAGAGGCAGAGAGAGCTGCAAGGTAAAAAAAAATAATGGAGAAACGAGAAAACATCCTTATCAATTTTACAACATTAATTCATTTTTCTTTGGCTTAGTCCCTTATTCATCAGGGGACATCACAGCGAAATGAAACGCCAACTTATCCAGCATATGTTTTACGCAGCGAATGCCCTTCCAGCTGCAACTCAGTACTGGGAAACACCCATACACTCTCACACATACACTATGGCCAATTAAGCTTATTCAATTCACCTACAGTATAGCACATGTCTTTGGACTGGGGGGGGGGGGGGTACACAGAGGAAACCCATGTGAACATGGGGAGAACATGCAAACCCCACAAAGAAAAGGCTCGAACCAGCGACCTACTTGCTGTGAGGTGACAGCGCCGCCCACTGCGCCACCCCTCAATTTTATTTTATGACAAGAATCATTAGAACATTTCATAATGATCATGCTCGGTCAGGGCCGGAGTGGGACTCTTTTTAAGCCCTGGAGTGTCAAGCCTTAGACCGGCCCACCTCAGTTCACGACTGATGATATTAAAACAAGGTCACTTCCAAATTAAACAGCTAAATAAACATTAAATAAAACAGCTGCTTTAGAACTTTAAATGTTCAAAAACCCTAACAGTATTATATGTCTTAACAATAAAACTATAATTAAAAAAAAAAAAACATACTCAGACAAGAATCAAACCCAGGTCGGCGGCGTCATAATCTAACGTGCTAACCACTGGACCACAACAGTTGTATATGAAGGACTGACTCATCTGAGTAATATCATCATTAACCTGTAGGCTGGTTATATATAAAAAGAGAAGAGCTGCGGTAAAATAAAGAATAAGAAGACTGTTGTCAAGTAAGTAAATAAATTAATTTAAAAAGTGTGACTGCTGAGAGCAACAGATTCTGGAGCTAGGGACACCGGCCCCCAAGGCCAAAAAACGGACCAACCCACCGGGAATTCTCACGGTCCTCCCGATTAGCCAATCCGGGCCTGTGCTCGGTGGAGATGTTTTGTAAATTTCCTACTGTAAATACATTCACTCATTCATTCATTTTCCTTTGGCTTAGTGACTGATGTTTTCAGGAGTTGCCACAGCAGAATGGACCGCCAACTATTCCTGCATATGTTTTATGCAGCAGATGCCCTTTTAGCTGCGTCCCAGTACCGGGAACTGTACGTACATCAACACTCAATTTTTGATTACTTATATGCATTGCTAAGAGCATCAATTGCGTAGCTTTAAAGGATTTTCTCTTAAATTAGATTTTTTTTAAACCTTCAGATTCCAGATTTCCACATCTCAGCTAAATATTGTAGAATCCTAAGAAAGTACATTAATGAAAAAAAGTTTTATTCAGTTTTCAGACGATATATAAATCTCACTTTCGAAAAACGGATGCTCTTATGTGGTCCAGGGTGACATACATACAGTTGGGATCAGAATTATTAGTCCCCCTTTGAATTGTGTTTTCCTTTTTAAATATTTCCTAAATGATGTTTAAGAGAGCAAGGAAATTTTCACAGTAAATCTAATAATATTTTTTCTTATCGAGAAAGTCTTATTTGTTTAATTTCAGCTAGAATAAAATCAGATTTAAATTTTTTATTTATTTTTTAAGATCAAAATTATTAGCCCCCTTAAGCTATATATATTTTTCGATAGTCTACAGAACAAACCATCATTATACAATAACTTGCTTAATTACCCTAACCTGCCTAGTTAACCTAAGGAACCTACTTAAGCCTTTAAATGTCACTTAAGCTGTATAGAAGTGTCTTGAAAAATATATACTAAAATATTATGTGCTGTCATCATAGCAAAGAGAAAACAAATCAGTTATTGGAAATGAGTTATTAAAATTACTATGTTTAGAAATGTGTTAAATAAATTTGTCTTCGTTAAACAGATATTGGGGAAAAAAATAAACAGGGGGGCAAATAATTCTGACTTTAACTGCATTTATATAGAAATATTTGCATACCTCTACGATTGCATCTACAGGACAGGCCTCCTGACAGAATCCACAGTAGATGCATTTGGTCATGTCAATGTCGTAACGGGTTGTTCTTCTGCTGCCGTCTGCACGAGTCTCTGCTTCTATAGTGATGGCCTGTGAGAGACAAACACACAGCTGACACCCAATCAGTAGAGGCGATCGGAGACCCATAAGGAAAACGCATAGACGTTACCTGAGCAGGACAGACAGCTTCACACAGTTTGCATGCGATACAGCGCTCCTCTCCGTTTGGGTATCTGCGTAGCGCATGCTCACCGCGAAAACGTGGAGAGAGAGAGGGCCTTTCTCAAAGGGGTAGTTGATCGTAGCTGGTTCTCTGAACAAGTAACTCACAGCCATGGCCAAACCTGCCATACAGAGAGAGAGAGAGAGAATACAACTGCAAAACCATGTATTATAATTATGTAATATGTAGAGCTGGGCAAAATTTATTAAGATTAATTGCATCCAAATGCATGCATATATTTCAGAAAATATTTATTTTATATTTAGGTATAAAATATACTTTTACGACTGATTGATTAGCACTGTCGCCTCACAGTGAGAAAGGTCGCTGGTTCGAGCCCTGCTGGGTCAGTTGACATTTATATGTGGAGTTTGCATGTGCTGTCCGTGTTTAACCAGGGATGTTACACTGACAACAGAGTTGCGGATCCGCATGCAGGTTTATTAGAATGGTCAGGCAAGCAGTGGCCAATACAGGAGCAAACAGATGTATAAGGGCAATCCAGAGTCCTAGTCAAAAAGCAGGCAGATGGTCAGAGGCATGCAGCAATCAGGACTAAACAAATAAACAAGGCAAGGATCAAAAACACGGTAAAGCAAGACAAAGGAAAACGCGTTGTAATGTCACTATAGCAGATAACAAGACTCAGCAACAGTGTTTGAGCAGTACTTTTACTCCATTAATCAGTCCTTGAGTAGCTTCAGCTGTGTAATCAGTCAGGATCTAACATCCAGTGCATGTGTGGAGTTGCAGTCCATGAACTGGCAGATTTGTAGTTTGTGTGAGTGTGAATGTATTTCAGCGATATCTGGTGGTTAGATCGCTGGTGATCATGACACCATGTTGGCATGGGTTTCCTCCGGGTGTTCTGATTTCCCCCAAAGCACAAACACATGCGCTATAGGTGAGTTGAAAAAGCTACATTGGCCATAGTGTGTGTGTGTGTTATGCAAGAGAGTATGAGTATTTCCCAGTACTGGGTTGCGGCTTAAAGGGCTTTGTAAAACATATGCTGGATAAGTTGGCGGTTCATTCCACTGTGGTGACTGCTGATTAATAAAAGGACTAAGACGAAGAAAAATGAATGAATGAATATAAATTTATATGATACAAATTCTAAATATATAATATCAAGTGTAACAATTTTTTTTTTGTATAGTTTTGTTTCTATGTATGTTTGTGGATCACATATACACAATAAATAACACACACACATACATTATGTCAAAACAAATTTCTATTAATCAATAGATGCTATTAATCACAATTATCTTTGCCTAGCACTGGTAATATGTAATTATAACAAGAATCCAAACCAAAGATGTCCAAACCTTCTATAAACATATACAACAACAACAAAAAACATAAAAATATTAATAATAGTAACAATAATAAATATTATTATTTAATTATTCTTTTATTCATTCATTTTCATTCAGCTTACCTTTATTCATTTTGGGTTGCTACAGCGGAATGAACTGCCAACTTATCCAGCATACATTTTACACAGCAGATCCCCTTCCAGCTGCAACCCAGCACTGGGAAACATCCTTACACTCTAATTCACACACATACACTATGGCCAATTAAGTTTATTCAATTAATCTATAATGCATGATTTTGGACTGTGGGATAAACTGGAGCACCTGTAGGAAACACACGCGAACACGGGGAGAACATCCAAACTCCACACAGAAATGCCAACTGACCCAGCCGGGATTCAAACCAGTGACCTTCTTGCTCTGAGGCAACAGTTCTAACCACTGAGCCACCATGTTGCCCATATTTAATTACTCAATCATTCATTCATTCATTCATTTTCTTTTTGGCTTAGTCCCTTAATCAGGGCTCACCACAGCAGAATGAACTCCCAGCTTATCAAGCATTTGTTTTACACAGCAGATGCCCTTCCAGCTGCAAACCAGCACCCATCCAAAACATCCATCCACTCTCACAGTCACACCCATATTTAATTATAATGACAAAAAATATAATTATTATAATGATGTATATAATATGAGGCGACGCAATGGCACAGTAGGTAGATCGCAAGAAGGTAGCTGGTTCCAGCCTCAGCTGGGTTGGTTGGCAATTCTGTGTGGAGTTTGCATGTTCTCCCTGCGTTCGCGTGGGATTCTCCGGGTGCTCCGGTTTCCCCCACAAGTCCAAAGACATGCGGTACAGGTGAATTGGGTAGGCTAAATTGTCCATAGTGTATGAGTGTAAATGAGTGTGTGTTGATGTTTCCCAGAGATGGGTTGTGGCTGGAAGGGCATCCGCTGCGTAAACACGTGCTGGATAAGTTGGCGGTTCATTCCGCTGTGGTGACCTCAGATTAATAAATGGATTAAGCCGACAAGAAAATGAATGAATGAATAAATAAATTATATACAGTTGAATAAAGAATTGTTAGCCCCGCTTTGATTTTTCTTTCTTTTTTAAAAATTTCCTAAATGATGTTTAAAAGAGCAAGGACATTTTCACAGTATGTCTGATATTTTTTCTTCTGGAGAAAGTATTATTTGTTTTATTTCGGTTAGAATAAAAGCAGTTTTTAATTTTTTTAAGCACCATTTTAAGGACAAAATTATTAGCCCCTTTAAGCTATTTTTTCCAATGGTCTAGAGAACAAACCATCGTTATAAAATAACTTTCCTATATACCCTAACCTGCCTAGTTAACCTAATTAACCTAGTTAAGCCTTTAAATGTCACTTTAAGCTGTATGAAGTGTCTTGAAAAATATCTAGTAAAATATTATTTACTGTCATCATGGCAAAGATAAAATAAATCAGTTATTAGAAATGAGTTATTAAAACTATTATGTTTAAAAAAAATCTGCTCTCCATTGAACAGAAATTAGGGAAAAAATAAACAGGGGGGCTATAAATTCTGACTTCAATTGTATATTTTTAATTTATATAATAAATATACATATTTGAACAACACTATTTTATATCTTAAAACCTCTCAGCATATAAATAAAAAATGTTAATCAAACCCACCTCTGCACAGTTCGGTCAACAGCAGTGTCTGTGCTGCACGGTCTGTGATGGACTTCAGGTCAGAAGGCAAATCTTCTGCATTTACATACTCTACAGACAGACAAAGACAGACATTATAGGACACTTTGTCTACAACACCTGTTTAGACTGTAAATATATATGTATGATCTTACTGTAGCCTCCTCTGTGAATGGTAAGGCTGAAGGGGCGAACAGGCCCAAGTCTGGCTGCAAAAGTGCCTGAATGAAATTTGAGCATTTTTGGTTCAATAGGAACACAACATCAGACTCTACTCAAGTCATTTTGAAATTAATATTTTGTTTTTCACCCAACATTTACCTGTGCGGCAGGAGGAAAACAGTATGCGCAATGTCATCTCCATCCTCATCAACCTAAAAGATATTATGACCACAATTATGAATTTATGATCACATAATATTATGTCAATATACAGCTTCATGTCATTGGTGAAGATCTATTACTTATACTGAGATTGAATCAGATGGGCTGTATGCCAAATGAACAGATTTGTGCCATAAGCCTGTTGGTAATCTCCTTTCACAATCTGTCAGACCCTATTAAACAACTTCTTTCATACAAGCAAATTGCAAATGCTTCCATAAACACAACATGCACATGTGTTTAGAAGTAGGTGGAAACCGTAAGTTTGTTGGTTTTTCAGTTAATGTAACTTTATAAAACTATATTTACAAGCAAGCAAGGTAATATAAACTTTAAGCTAGGCTAATTCTCTGTTTTACCGGTTCTTTACACATTTAACGTAAAGCCCTCAAGTTTTAGGCTACATATTGAGAACACACTATCTGCACATGCTTATAACTGAATGCCAACAATGTCACTTTCAGTTGATTACCTCTTCAAGTCATTAGACCCTATGAATATTTATGTATGTTGGATACTTCACTCACCTGAAGCTTCGGCCTGTTAGTCATTGGAGTGTGAAGATTTGCGCTTTCAAGAGCCCGGCGGTCACGTGGTGTCCGCTAAACTACTGCGTGACAGACGAGTTTTTTTTAATTGAAGCATAAAACTGACAAGCATACAAACCATACGATGACATGTAACAGCAGGCCCGTAGCCAGCCGAGAAAAAGGGGTGGTTCTTTTTTCTAAAAAAATGCACCTTTTTGCAGTTATACGCCTCAGTTTCTATTTAACTATGAGATTTAAATACTGCGTTTTAGTGATTTTTTTTCGCTGGATTAACTTGTCATAAGTCCTCATAACCACACTTTTTGATGTACTAAAAATATTTTCCAAAAATTTGCACTAAAGAAAACTTAAAACAAGACAATTTTTAAAAATACAAATTTATTACAACACATAGGCTACTATTAGGAAAAATAGCAATGTTAAAGTTTTGAAGTAAAAAATAGTAGCCCACTATCATTTCTTAGACAAAAAAACAAACTGTCCAGCACATTCAACTGTTCACAAAATTTGGCCATTAAAAAAATAAAAATGATTAAAACATAATAATAATAATAATAATAATAATAATAATAATAAAACTATAATAATGAGTTCTGCAGAATTTTTCTAGCCTCTTTGGTAAAAAAAGTAGGCTATAAAAATTCCTGGTTATCAACAATACCCAAAGTATAATTAAATTAATTTTACATGGTTGCTTCACACCTTTTTATTGCTCATTTTTATTTCAGTAATAAGGTCCAAGATTTAGAATAAAGTTACCTTCAAAATGTTTTCTCTGTTATACAGTAGTGAAAGAAGCCTTCTCGTACATCACCCCATCGTCCCACCGAAGCAACAGCCAAAAGAGGATCCGTTTGGTCTTAAAGCCTTTTTCGATGGATTATTTTCATTATTTATGACAGCATAGCAGTCAAAATAGGACGAATGAGCTCATATATGGGACAAATTCTGGACCTTAAGTGAGGGGTGGGTCTTCCGAACCCCCCTGCTAAAGGCCTAAAAAGTTAGAGCACATGGTTTATTTTCATAGTAAACCTGTTTTTAAAAGAATTTTGGCTGTAAAAGTGCACCTAGAGGTGTTTCAGGTGCAGGTCAGGTTTTCTCTTGGTCATAATTTCTTTTGTTTATATTCATTTTGTCTATAAAATGATAATACCTGTCCAGTTTCATCTGGAATGTATTCCAGATCACCTTCTGAAGTGGTTTGAACGATATGATATCATCAGAATAAAACGAATAAAGTGACCAAACAGCCTCATAATCACAGATGTGACGGGAATATATATATATATTCAATATAAATACATTATCTTAACTGTATAATAAATATATTGTATAATATTAAATTACATAAAATGATTAAAAGGACAAAATCGGGGGTGGTTAGTAGCAAGTACCATGCTATTAGGTTATGTGATAATAAAAAGCTTTCCACCACTAGGAGTGTCAGTCATTCATTGGTCAGAGCATTTTGTCATAGCCGGGCTCACTTTCTGTTCTAATGTCCTGCATCTGTCTTTAATTATATTCATCTGTCTCCATATTCTACTGCATCCCAGAATATTACAAAGCACCAAAAATGTAAAAATATATATTCAATATAATTAATTTGTTTTTGTCCATATAGTGGACTGCAACTCGCCGTGACGGAGATTCCCAAGCCTGTGTGCTCGAATCAGGTGTGCTCTCTTCAGGGTTCACCATGACAGCCAAACTCACAGCAGTGACTTCGCATTGTAAGCATTTGCATCTGCATTCCTATAAAGCTTGTCGATTCTCTCTCAGTGTTGTCAGTTCGCTCAGTGTTGCTGTTTGTACTTGACCAAGGTGAGTTCAATACCGACGGTGCGAGTGGAGCCACGGCGATCTTACCAAGTCCACTTTGTGAAGCTTCACTCGGGCACATCTGTGCTGTAGTTCCTTGGGGTTTGCGCACATAAATGCAAAATCGCGAAGAATATTACGTGTTTGTTGCTTGAAATGTGCCGCTTAGTAACATTCTGGTGAACACTGGCACGGACTGGCGCCCGTTTAACTCGTGCACTCCCTGGGGCGAGGCGGCTTGTGAACCCTAGGCCGTGAGGACCCTCAGGGAAACACGGGAGGCCGGTAGGCCCACTCATCGTCTATTTTAAACTGTAGTTTCAAACTTTAGTTTACTATAGTTTAAAATAGAAACCATGAAAACTGTAATGTTTTAAATGTATGTCTGGCTGTTGTAATGTTTTTCTTTGTTTTTCAGCAGAGTTGTTGAGGAAAGAAGGACAAGTGAAGACAAACGTTGAAGACAACCGCGGGTTATATTCATGAACGTGTGCATTATAATGTTTCCGTGCTGTTTTCTGAAAGTGTATCTTGTTTAGATAAGTTTGCAGGTCGAACCTAATAAACTATACTCTTTCTAAACACCTGTCTCGTGTTTTATTTGTCCTCTACAGCAATACACTGTCATATAAGTCTGTTTAATGCATTTGTATGCAACATGGTTTGACAGTAAAGTAGTCTAACAAATAAATAGTTGTTATAAATGTACCTTCATTGGTCAACATTTGGTGTAGGTAATAAAAAGTTCATCAAAGATGTCCTAAGACATAACGGTATTGTTATGGTTGTTACATAACTGTATTTATTATTATTCTGTATGTTTAAAACCAGCAGATTATACTAGATATTTAACATGTCATGAACTTACTGTTATTCAAGAATCTGCTTAATAAAAATGTCCTAAGACAATAATGGGTATTGTTTTGGTTTTATGTCAAACTACTGTAGGTTTTAGGTTGACTACAGAAGGTTTTGGCTACCTATATCATAATATTGGTATAGTCAGAGTTTTTTTCACAGATTTTAATGACCCAAATCAAGTAAAATGTGTCTTACTCAAGTACTTTTAGTATATATATATATATAAAAGAAGCTAAACAAGTTGTCATAATATTTAGTCATAATGCATTTTTCTATACATTTCCAGTAGACTTTTTTTCCTTAATCTACAATTGGTGAATTGCTTCTAGGACAGTCTTGATTTTGTCTAATGAAGGTGAGGTGCATTTGAAAGGAGATTGTCTATGTTCACATTTCTACTTTTGTTTTGTTTTATTCTTTGTCCTATGTAGTGCTGTCTTTTCCTTTCTGTATCACAATGACATGATCTGGCAACAAATTACAGTACAAACAGCAAAAATAAATAAATAAACTAGCCTCTCCAGAGTGCACTGTTATACTGACAACATAACTAGGCCCACACAGAATCTATGCATGCAGATTTACCCAGACTTTTAGCCCATCATTGATTCAAATTATTTACTTGTGTAAATGTGTCTACATTTATGTTTATTCCGTTTTTTAATTATTTACAGTAATATTATTGACTAATATGAAAATATTCATATGAATTGTTTACAATACAGTTTGTAAAGTTAGATTTTCTGTCTTTTAGTAGATATATTATATGAAAGACTTGCTTTGTTTACCAAATAAAGAGAATCTAATTGGATTTGCATTGTAAACATTAAATAAAAGTTAAAAAGGTATTATATTAAGGTTTTAGTTATGATACTTCAAGATTAATTCAGCATAAATCCGCAGATTTTTAACACATTTCTGTGCAGAAATAGCATAAAATGTCTACAGATTTGGTCTGGCCTAAAACATGACGGACTGTCTTATTCGTACACAATGACACAAGGACTTGTCATTCTGATAGCACTGACATGTTCACTGAAAGATGAACTAAGCATTGTAAGCAAAAGACTGGCTTTTGCAGGTAATCTATGCTGTTTTGCTATTTGTATGTGTTGTTAAAAAAAATGCACTTACTGTTCAGCAAATTTAAAATCTGAGAAGCGTACCAAAGCAACTGAGAAAAACTGGAATACAACACAAGTTAATGCAAAGACGAAAAAAAGTCTGCAAAGACAAAAGTGTGTATTTTTATTTGAGCATTCTTTTATAAAAATAGTGTATACATATTTGGGTTTTGTATTTTTGGCTTAATATGTAACACTTTATAGTCTACTCATTTTGATGTAATCATAATAGTACAAAAAAAAAAGAAAAAGAAGAAAGACATGTATTGTAAAACAGATATTTAGTGGAATGGAACATCACAACATGGTTTCTACAGGTGTCAGTCACTATTTCAAATGTATGAGTTTTTAATAATTTTTAAACCACTGTGAATTAAATTTCATTCTTATAGAGGACTACATGCTAAGGATGGTTTTAATGGCCCAGGTGGGCCAGTGGTATAGATGAGGGGTTCCCAAACCTTTAAGCCCGCAAGCCCCAAAATAACATTGCCGGTGACTCTTGACCCCGACATTCCTCAGAGGTGGTTATAAATGTACAAATGTTGCACACACAATAATAGGCCTATATAAACATGTGCATATTGCCAACACAAAAAAGTGCAACAGTCTTAACAACAATAATAGGCTATCATTTATATAATTATTCATTCATTTGTTTAATTTAATATTAACCTCACGTTAATGAGACTAGTGGACACCATGTTTTCAGCACAAGTCTACTGGTTTAATTTTGGAGATCATCCTCAATGTTCAGTTGTCACCTGTATTTATTTTCAATGTATTTGATTACCATAAAGAAGTCAGACCTGGTGCTTAAAATCAGTCTGTGTTGTTGATCTAATGTACAGTCTAATCTAACACACAATCCTATGACAAAAAATAAGGCTGATGGCTTTTTATTTGCATGTTGTTGCTTTTTAATGTAACCTACTATTTTTATCTTCTGTGGGTTATGGATAAAATAAGCTAATTCTAATAGTTAGTAAAATTTATTTGACTTTTAAAAATCACCAAGTGACCCCCTGTCATTGCACGGCAATTCTCACTTTGGGAACCACAGGTATAGATTACTTGCCCCATCAAAAAACAAAAAACAAACAAACCAAAAAAAAAAAACAATTAGTTATTTCTTAGCCACATATTTTAAACAATGTGACAAAAACAAGCAAACCCTAGTTGTATACAAACACATTTCT